GGATGTTCTCTCTCTGCCTTTTGTTTTGTTTGGATAGAGGTTTGTCTATCTTGTTGATTTTTCTCAAAGAACTAACTCGTTGTGTCATTGATTCTTTGTATTGTTCTTTTTGTTTCTGTTTTATTGATTTCAACTCTCAATTTGATTTTTTCCTACTGTTTATTCTTCCTGGGGGAGTTTGCTTCTTTTTGTTCTAGAGCTTTGAGGTGTGCTGTTAAGTCACTTCTGTGAGGTTTCTCCAACTTCCTTATGTGGACATTTAGCACTATGAACCGTCCTCTTAGTACTGCTTTCATAGTGCCCCATAAGTTTGAGTATGATGTGCATTCACTTTCATTGAATTCTAGGAAGTCTTTCATTTCTTTCCTTATTTCTTCCTTGACCCATTGGTGATTCAGTTGAGCATTATTCAGTTTCCATGAGATTTTAGGCTTTCTATGATATTTGCTGTTGTTGAAATCTAACTTTAAGCCACAGTGGGCTGATAAAATACAGGAGGGTTTTTCCATTCTTTGTATCTGTTAAGATTTTTTTTTTTTTTTTTTTTTTTTTTTTTTGTGACCGAGTATGTTGACAATTTCAGAGAAGTTTCTTTGGGGTGCTGAGAAAAAGGTATATTCTTTTGTATTAAGGTGGAATGTTCTATAGATATCTATTAAGTCCATTTGAGTCATAACATCTATTAGATCCCTTATTTCTCTTTTAAGTTTCTGTCTAGCAGATCAGACCATTGATGAGAGTGGGGTGTTGAAGTCTGCAACTAATAGTGTGTGGGGTTTGATGTCCAATTTAAGCTTTAGTACTGTTTCTTTTATATATGTGGATGCCCTTGTGTTTGGGGCATAATTTCTGAGAATAGAGACTTCCTCTTGGTGCATTTTTTCCTGTGATGAATATGTAATGTCCTTCCTGATCTCTTTTGATTGATTTTAGCTTGAAGTCTGTTTTGTTAGATAATAGGATAGCTACACAATCTTGCTTCTTAAGTCCATTTGATTGGAAAGTCTTTTTTCAGCCTTTTACTCTGAGGTAGTGTCTGTTTTTGAAGTTGAGGTGTGTTTCTTGTATGCAGCAAAAGGATGGATCCTGTTTTTGTATCCATTCTTTTAGCCTGTATCTTTTTATAGGGGAATTGAGTCCATGGATATTAATGACCATGGTTGTTAGTTCCTGTTATCTTTTGGTGGTAGTTTGTATTTCCCTTCTTTGGGATTTATTGCTGTGGGGTTATCTATTTCCTGTGTTTCCATGGGTACATCTAAATTCTTTATGTTGGAGTTTTGATTCTAGTGCTTTTTTTAGGGCTGGATTTGTGGATAGGTATTATTTAAATCTGGTTTTGTCTTGGAGTATCTCGTGCACTCTGTCTATGGTAATTGAAAGTTTTGCTGTGTATAGTAGTCTGAGCTGGCATCTGTGATCTCTTAGTGTCTGCATTACATCTGCCCAGGACCTTCTGGCTTTCAGAGTTGCCCTTGAGAAGTGAGGTGTTATTCTGATGGATCTACCTTTATAAGTCACATGGCCTCTTTCCTTTGCTGCTCTTAATATTCTTTCTTTGTTCTTTATGTTTTGTGGATTCATTATTATGTGATGAGGGGACTTTTTGGGCGGGGTCTAGTCTATGTGGTGTTCTGTAAGCTTCTTGTATCTTCATAGGTATTTCCTTCTTTAAGTTGGGAAAGTTTTCTTGTATGATTGTGTTGAATATATTTTCTGTGCCTTTGAGTTGGTATTCTTCTTCTATTCCTCTTATTCTTAGATTTGGACTTTTTATGATGTCAGAGATTTCCTGGATGTTTTGTGTTATGACTTTTTTGGTTTTAGTGTTTTCTTTGACTAATGAATCTATTTCTTCTATTGTGACCACCACGCCTGAGATTCTCTCTTCCATCTCTTGTGTTCTCTTGGTTATGGTTGCATCTGTAGTTCCTGTTCATTTACTCAGAGTTTTTATTTCCATCATTCCCTCCTTTTGTATCTTCTTCATTGCTTCTGCTTCAATTTTCATGCGTTGAACTGTTTCCTTCACGTCTTTACTTTTACTTTGTCTTCTTGGCTTTCTTTAAGGGATTTATTGATTTCTTCCCAATTTTTTTGGTGGTCTTTTCATCAATTTCTTTTTTTTTTTTCATCAATTTCTTTAAGGGCATTTTTCATTTCCTCTTTAAAAGCCTCTATCATCTTCATAAAATGATTTGTAAGATCGCTTACTTCTGCTTCTTCTGTTCTGTGATGCTCAGGTCTTGCTGTTGTAAAACCTCTAGGTTCTATTGGTGCCATATTGCTCTTTATGTTGTTGTATGTGTTTTTGCACTGGTGTCTACCCATTTCTTCCTCCAATAGGTGTAAGAGGTTTCTGCGTCTGAGGGAGCTGCTCTTGGTTCAGTCTGTGCTTACTGTGTCTGTGTCTCAGGGGACCACTCTTGTTTCAATCAGGTGTGGCAGATACTGTTTCTCAGGGAGAAACTGAGGTTACAGGGGGATGGTTGAGTTAAGGTCAAGGAGTGGGTCTTGTGGATTGCAGTTTCCAATGTGGGGTGTAGTGGGGAGGCTTACATTGAGGAGTGTTGCCTGCTGGCCTGAAACTGGGGCAGCGATGGGTGGTGGTGGGGTCCATCACTCCCTCAGAATGTTCCTTATAGCATATTCAGAAATGTGTCCCTGTATGTTTATGATTTTTCTGGATAATCACATGGAAAGACTGCTTTATTTTACCCTTCACCTTCTAAGTAGCAATGTGGCGAGGTAGAGGTTATTTTGCAAAGGATTACAATGTGAATGAATAGTACATAGGTAAAGACTCATTCTGATCATTATTATTATTATTTTCAGTCCTAGGATTGTATATGCAAGCACTCTATTGCCAAGCTATATTCCCAGCTCTTTTTTCAGTTTTTATTTTGAGATAGTCTCACTGAGTTTCCTAGGCTCGCCAGGAAGTCTGTTGCACAGACAGCCCTTGAACTTAACCATCATCCTGGCTAGTCTCCATGAGGCTCTATTAGACTTCCTTTTTAATTTAATGTTGTTACTTGTTTTTTACTCTTTTTGTGGGCCCCTCCAACCGGCTCCCCAATAAATCACATGCAGATGCTTATTCTTAATTATGATTGCCCATCCTTAGCTTGGCTTACTTTCTAGCCAGCTTTCCTTAACTTAAATTAACCCATGTATCTTTTGCCTCTGGGTTTTTCCCATTCTCTTCTATAAATCTTAATCTTACTCCATGGCTTGCTGGTTATGTAGCTGGGTAGCTGGCCCTTGATGGCCTCCTGTTCTCTGGTGCCTTCTCTATATGTTCTGTCTGCCTGAGATTTCCATGTATCCTTTCTGGTGCCTTGCTATTGGCCAGTTCTTTATTAAACCAGCAGGTATTTTACACAGGCACAGTAACAAAGCTTTACAGAATTAAATAAATGCAATATAACCTAACATACCTTAAAGTAATATTCTACCAAAATTTAAAAAAATTTTCATACAATATATTTTAGTCATAATTTCCTATCGCCAAACTACTCCCAGATACCCACTCAACTTCAGATTCTTTCTATTAGAAATCAAAACAAAACAAAAAATTACATGGTGTCCATTTGTGTTGACCAACTATTCATGAGCATGTGGCTTGTCCTGGAGTATGTTTAACACATTTTGTCTCTCTATTGAAGGAAACTGGTTTTCTCCTCCCAGAAGTTAATGGTTACGCATAGCTTCTTGGTTAGAAGTGGGACTTTGTGCCCACTTCCCATTCTCTGTGCTGGGATTTTTGTCTGGTTTGAACTAGTACAGATCTTATGCATGCCGTCACAGACTCTGTAATTTCAAATGTGCATTAGCCCTATTATGACTGAAAAATACTGTTTCCTTGGAGTGGTTCATCACCTCTGGCTTTTATAGTCTTTTTACTTTTATATATATATATATATATATATATATATATATATATATATATATATCCCTGAGACTTGAGGGGAGGGCTTTAACGGGCTTTCCCTTTATTACTGAGTGCTCCAAAGACTCTCACTCTCTGAATGTTTTCCAGTTGTGGTTGTCCATATTAGTTATTATCTATGACATGATGTCTTGTTTATGATGAGTTCTCAGTAATGTGATACTCCATGGATATAACAATATGTAATTAGGAGTCATTTTATTTCTATGTTCATTTGGCAGAATAATTATAGTAGATTTTCCCTTGAGGCCTCTGACCTTTCTAGTCTCAGGTTCTTGGCCTCATTAGTGTGTCAGATATAGGTTCCATCTTGTAGAGCTGGCCTTAAATCCAATTAAAAGGTGGTTGGTTACTACTATAGCATTTCTGCCACTATTGCACAGTCAGTGGGTAAATCTTGTACACAGATTGCTGTTATAGCTCACAGGTTTGACACCTGAGTGAGGTTGATGATTACTTTTCTTCTCCAGTAGTGTGTATCATACCTTTCAACACTATGAACTCTATTTACCTGGAGTAAAGCTTCTAATTGAGCATGAGCGTCTGAGTGCATCTTTGGTTTCATTTTCTTTTCATTCATCCCATTCTGCTACCTAGGCCCCTAACCGTACACTCTCTCAACTGAACTGTTCTCTTTTCCTCTGTAGTTTGACTTCCTATTTGTTTTGCAGTTCGAGGCATATTTGAATGTCAGCTGTGACATTGAATTACTATGTATTGCTCTTGGCTACAGAAAGAATGTGAAAATATTCTTGACCTTATTTTGCACACGTTTCTATCTCAAGGGTGTTTGGTTCTTAGGACCACATTTTCTCAACCTTGTTCAGGTAGTGATGTGTAGTAAATTTGATAATGAAAGATGAAATGAAAGTTAAAAGAATGTGCATTCTGTTAACTAACATCACAATCTAGGGCCAGAGACAAGAGGATTGATAGCTCTGATGCCTCAAACTACTTACCATTTCCTTCTTCTCCATTGCTAGATCACAGTTCGTGTTCCAGTTTTGTCCTTTTCCTTTGCCATTTAAGAATAATTTTCCGGTTTCAGGCTTGATTTTGAAGAGGATTTGGCACTATTGGGTTTGTATGCTGTACAAGTGCTGCTGCACGGAACTGAGGAGAGAGCATGGTCCAGCTTGGAAGCCAGGACATGAGTTTGAGCTCCAAGAGGAGATCCTGAGAAGTCATTGCATGAAGCTGTGACGTTGAAGCTTGGATTGCCTTTTAGACCACGAGATGAGTGAGAGCCACAGTGAGGAGATCCTGAGAGTTCATTGTATGAGACTGTGATGGTGAAGTAGGGATTACCTTTTGAGACCACAAGATGAGTGCAGTGACCTATGAAGATGTGCATGTGGAATTCAGTGTGGAAGAGTGGGCTTTGCTGGATTCTTCCCACAAGAATCTATACAAAGATGTAATGCTAGAGACCTACAGGAACCTCACAGCTATAGGCTACAGTTGGGAAGACCATAATATGGAAAAACATTGTCAAAGTTTTAGAAGGCAGGGCAGGAATGAAAGAAATCATACTGGAGAGAAACTCTCTGAAAATACTCAATGTGTTAAAACCTTTGCATATCACAATCATCTTCAAATACATAAAAGAAGACATACTGGAGAGAAACCCTATGAATGTAATAAATGTGATAAAGCCTTTTCATGTCAGAGTCATCTACAAAGACATGAAGTAACTCATACTGGAGAGAAACCTTATGAATGTAATCAGTGTGATAAAGCCTTTGCACATCAAAGTAGTCTCCAAACACATAAAAAAACTCATAATGGAGAGAAACCTTATAAATGTAATCATTGTGGGAAAGCCTATGCACATCATAGTAGTCTCCAAATACATAATAGAACACATACTGGAGAGAAACCATACAAATGTAATCAATGTGATAAAGCCTTTTCACAATACAGTAATCTCCAAGTACATAAAAGAAGACATACAGGAGAGAAACACTATGAATGTAGTCAACGTGGTAAAGCCTTTTTATATTACAGTGCTCTCCATATACATGAAAGAATACATACTGGAGAGAAACCTTTCAAATGTGATCAATGTGATAAAGCCTTTTCACGACAGTGTAAACTTCAAATGCATAAAAAAACTCATACTGGAGACAAACCTTATGAATGTCGTCAGTGTGGTAAAGCCTTTGTAAGTCAAAAGAGTCACCAATTACATAAAGGAACTCATACTGGAGAGAAACCCTATGAATGTAATGAGTGTGGTAAAGCCTTTATATGTCAAAGGGGTCTCCAAAGACATAAAAGGACTCATACTGGAGAGAAACCTTATGAATGCAATGAATGTGGTAAAGCCTTTGCACATCACAATAGTTTTCAAGAACATAAAAGAACCCATACTGGAGAGAAACCCTACAAATGTATTCAATGTGATAAAGCCTTTTCACAATACAGTAATCTACAAAAGCATAAAAGAACACATACTGGAGAGAAACCCTACACATGTATTCAATGTGATAAAGCCTTTTCTAAACATGCTCATCTTCAAGCTCATAAAAGAACACATACTGGAGAGAAACCCTATGAATGTAGTCAGTGTGGTAAGCTCTTTGCATATCAAGAGAGTCTCCAATTACATAAAAGGACACATACTGGAGAGAAACCCTATGAATGTAATGAGTGTGGTAAAACCTTTGTATGTCAAAAGAGTCTCCAAATACATAAAAGATCTCATACTGGAGAGAAACCTTATAAATGTCATCAATGTGGTAAATCCTTTGCATATCACAGTAGTCTCCAAATACATAAAAGAACACATACTGGAGAGAAACCATACACATGTAATCAATGTGATAAAGCCTTTACAAAATATAGTTATCTCCAAATACATAAAAGAAGACATACTGGAGAGAAACCTTATGAATGTCATCAATGTGATAAAGCCTTTGCATGTCGAAGGAGTCTCCAAAGACATGAAAGAAAACATACTGGAACTGGAGAGATAACGTATGAATGAAATTAGTGTGATAAAACCTTTGCATATCAAAGTAGTCGCCAAATATATAAAAGAAGACATACTGGAGAGAAACCCTATGAATGTAATTAATATGGTAAAGCCTTTGCATATCAATAGTCTTCAAAATCATAAGAAAATAATCATACTGTTGAGAAACCCTATACATGTAGTCAGTGTGGCAAAATTTTGCAATTCATGGTAGTCTTCATACAAGAGTAAAACTTTGAGTGTGTAATTGAGCTGTTAAATCCTGTGTATAAAACATTAATCTGTGATGATCTGAAAAAAATTAATACTGAAGGAAATCTGACTGTAAAGGATTGGGTAAGATCATTAGCCAACATATGTATATTTAGTTACTCAAGATTAATCTAGAGGAAAAAATCTAGCAAGTGTCAACAGTCTCTTCAGTCATTATGATGTCTTTATTTTGTTTGTACCTGCAATCTCACATAGACAAAAGGCCTATGAATTTAAACTAAAACAACTTTTGGATCTCTTCTCTTCAATCACAGAAAAAAAAGAAATCTATGAGTAAAACTTTATGGATATGCATTAGTGCATTTTCTGTTGCTGTAGTAAAACATAATGCCTAAGTCAACTTATGAAAGAATTTAATTGGCTCTTTACTCCTGAGAGATACTGGATCACCATGAAAGTGGCATGGCAACAATTGTCAGACAGGGCAGCTAAAGCAAGAAGCTAAGATCTTAGACCCTCAACTTGCACCATGAAGTAGAGAGTAGGAACTGGAAATGGTGTATGGATGAAAACTCTCAGACCCACCCATAGTGACATATTTCATAAGCATGGCAGCATTTCCTAAATCTTCTGAAATGATACCACCAACTGAGAAGGATTGATTTCTCTGACTTCAAGTCTACATGCTAGTTTTCTGTTATGTGAACTACTTCACAATGAAGAAAATCTCTGTAAGCCTTTTAAATGTTTCAAGATTTGTGTTACTAGAATGAATGCTTACAAGAGAAAAGCATTCATGAGGAAATTTATTTACAGATTTTTAATGTGATGTCAGTGTGTCTTTGTGTGATTATGTGCATGTGCATTCTGGTTCCCAAGAAGGTTAGACCTTTGGAGTTTCTTGCAGCATGAATTATAGGAAGTTGTCAAAAACCTGACTTTGGTCCTAGGAATGAACTTATCTTAATTGTTCAGCCATGTCTCTAGCCCTTTAAATATTTTAAAACCTTTTACTATCATCTTGATATCAAGAAATAGGGAAGAACTGATACAAGAGGAAACCCTATTCATGTATATGATTTTGTAAAGAACTTACACACCACAGTTGTCTTCAGGTTCATAAAAAAGGACTTGCTTCACCTCTTTAATATCATAGCCTTGAAGGAAGCAAATTACCATGTTCACACAAGACTGATGTTGGAGATCAGTGCATTGTGGTTCTATTTTGCAACATTTGAGGTAGTTATTAAAGTGTGCTATATGTGTTGCAAATCTATTTAGTCAAATTCAATTTATGGTCCTTATATTCCTCTGTGGCCATTGTTCATCCTCAATTGTGCTTTCATTTAGAGATAGATATTTTTCTATTGCAAAGTATAGAATAGAATGGCCATCATCTAAGTAGTCCATTGTTTATTTAAACATCAGGCAATGCTGATCATACTTTTCAAGTAAGGGTGTCTGTGAAAGGGTGGTGGGTTTTTATTCTTGGTTTTCTTTTTCATATTTTCACAAATTCCCTTTAGATGTTGTTTGTTATTCAGCCTAGGTTGGATGTCAGTAATTTGTCTGGAATACATTTGAATTCATGATCCTCATGTGTCAGTCTCCAGTGTAAAAGTCCAAGGGTAGATGATACACCCCTAACGTTTGCTATTTTTTCAACTTGTTTTAAAATGTTAATTTTAAATTGCTTAATAGAGGAGAATATAAGAAACATTAAATACCTAATGTGTACATCCAAAGCTGCACTTTCATCTCTGAAAGAGATGTAATGAGGTAAAATGATCAGCAATCAGCTGTACATTTGCCATCTGTTTTCCCCTTTTCTCTGCTTATTTTATTAGCTTGATACTATTTTCCATTACACATGATTCAGTATCTTCTTTACACATGTGTAAAGTAAGAAATGCATTATCCTTTTTACTGTTTTTACAAGGTGGCTAAAATGTCATAAATAAGAACTATGTACACTAATATTATCTTGAATTAGGACCTCTGCCACTGAAGAAGCCAGGGCTTATGATGTTGCTCTGAGATACCTCTTTTTAAAACTGTCTCATTGCATTGTTTAAGTGGTTTCTGTATTATTAATGAATTAATGTTGTATTCGCTGTAAAATAGTGATAGATCCCAAAAAACTATAGTGTATTAGTTTGGACTTTAAAATAGTTGAGCTTAGAGAGGCTTAACAATGGTATACTGAATGCCAGCTTAAATTTCACCAAGAAGCAGCGTGCATTACACTAGTGTGCTATTTAATACTTGTATGAGGAATAGCTAAATCTGGAGGGTGACAAATAATTGTTATCCATGACCTTCTCTGAAGAAATCATTGTAGCAAGTTTTAGCTGACAGCAGACACTAGGACGACCATCAGTGTTGATTGATGCTGCTAATTTTCACAGTTTAATAGAGAAAATCATGATTTATCCCATCACCTTGATATATTATTTGCAGATAGGATAGGTAATTCTCATCTCTGTTGCATTTCTCTTGAGTAGTTGATCTTATTTGATTTCTTACAGTGCTTATTTTATGTGGCTTCAGCTCTGTCAGTTCATTTAGATTGTTTCAAAGCTCCACACCAAACTTAGGATTTAAAATGACAGAGTAAAAATATTTGTTCTCTATTCTGTCTGAAGTTACCCTCATACAACACAATACAGATTCCTATAGACAAATATTGCTGTAACTCCAAACTGAAATATTTGAAAAATGGTTGCCATATGTAAAAAGAAGATCCTTGTAGAAAGAGATCTCTGAACTGACAGAACAAAGACATGGCTCTTCTGTTTACAATAGGTTAGGACATATGGGAGGCATTGGAACATCCATAGTTGTTTGGCAGCATGAACTAGCAAGAAGAAAGGGAAATAAGGTATACACAAGTGCACTATCCTTACAGCAGGAAAATAGAGGGAGAGATTGCCACAGACTCTTTGGTACCTGTTTTTCATGAAGGAGTAATGTTTTAACTTTTTCTAACATCTAATATGCATTCTCCATTTTTCTCACAAACACACGTGTATAAACTGTTATGTCAGAAAGAACTTCCATCTAGTCTAGAATGTAATACTCTTCTCTCCTACCCCAGTATTCCTAAGAATAACTGGTCTTGCGGCACTCAGGCCATTCAAAGGTAAGTAATTAAAAGGAAATGAGCATGGTCCATGAAAAATGCTACAAGAAGAAAATAAACCAGAAAACAAGTGACAACCCGTGATGAAGTTTATACTCGTGTGTTTTTGAGAAAAATGGAGATGAAATTGTACAGGCCTAAGTGGTGGTGAAGTTTATGAAACAGTTAAACTTTTGAAATGAAAGACGGAGGACTCAGTAGATAAGACATATACTGCTCCTTGAGTGACTTGAGTTTACTTCCTAGTACCTATGTCAGGTGACTCACAATAACCCCCTGTGACTCCAGCTTCAAGGGTATTGACCACCTCTGTCCTTTATGTGCACCTGCACACATGTGAACATACCCGTGAATGTACTTATAATCAATAGTCATTTTTAAAAATCTCTAAAATGACAGTGTTGGCTGTACCTTGGTGGTAATTTGCCAGTCCTGGATAGAAGCCTTGGGTTCAGTTAGTAGCCCTGCAAAAAATAAAGTGTTTATTATCTCAAGAGCTAGGAGTTAATTATAAGAGAGCAGTCTGGCAGAGCTAAGGAAGAAAAGATGCACAAGGAGGAATAACAGACATTAGAATGGAAAGTCAGCATTGAAGCCTCAGTGAGGTGGCTTGATGACAGGCTTTGGAAGTTGAACAAACTGAAATAGGAAAGAAAGGAGATGTACTTACTGTAGTTCTGGAAATAGAGACCCCAGTGTTGCAACAAAAGTATTTAAATGACTCCAGAAGTGTTCTACACAGAAATCTTTATAAGTTGAAAGAATACACAAAGACCAAGGAAAAATGAATATATACTCATCACTGTCATTTTAGATTTTTAAAAATGACTCATCACTATCATTATATAGTCTAGGTCAACAACGTAGGGAATATGTGTGCTTCCACTGTGCATTCCATGAAAACAGATCAGATTTCCCCGTAGGTGATGCTGTGTAATTGAATGATAATCGAGAATATTTAGCATTTCAGGGCAGTGATAAATTCTGTAACTTATCAGGGGAAGTAAATTGTGACTTCACAGGCAAACTCCACTGACATCTGTTTAAACTATGCAAACACTGAAAATAAGTAGTATGTATCTGTTCTTTTTTATAAGCTGCAGAGAAACTGCGTGTGCCCATGGTATATAGGGTGATTGTGGAACAGTGTGCCAATAAGAGTAAAATCACATAGTTATAGTACAGAATGAAATAACCAAGCAGAAATAAATAGGAAAAGGAAAGAAGACAGAGGTAGCATAATTTGCCAGTTTCTTGTTATAACCAGAAAACATAAGACAGAAAACTTAGATTATTGAGTGAAAGAGGTATTAGTATTCTTGAAGAAATAAAGCTAAACACAATAGGACGTTTTAAAAATATTTAAGCAAGGTGATGTATTGGAGAGGAGGTAGGAAGTATATACATACTAAATTTCTAACTAAAGAAGTAATCTGAGTTGACACCAAGGATGAAAGACCAAAATGATTTCCAAGCTGTTCTTTACCCTTGCAAATACCAGGTTCATACATGAGCATTCTAACAAACACAAACACACACACACACACACACACACACACACACACACACACACACACACCACAAAGAAACAGATACTGTAATCCTGACTAAACACTTTCTCACTTCTTTCCCATGGAAGTAGTTCTCAGTATGGTCAGAAGTGATATCACCTTTGGACTTGTCAGACATACATTCTGAGATCCAGAGGTCCCAGGTCACATCTGTGTGTCACAGACATTGGAGAAGGCCCTCCCTGGATTCCTCCTGGTCATAGTGCTCTGTAGTACCGCAGATGGCTTTTCCTTAGCTTTCTTTCTTTCTGGTTTTTCTTTTTATGTTTGTTTTTTTGTTCGAGAAAGGGTCTTTCTATGTAATTCAAGCTGGTCTAGATCACTGTGTAGCCCAGGCTGGCCTTGTACTTTCTACCCCCTGCCTCAGCATACCAAATGCTAGCCTTATAGCCATGTACTGCTATGTTTCACTAAATAACTTTGTGTGTGTGCTATCAATCTTTGTTAAAGTTAATTTAATTTCCTTTTTTATTTTTGCCACATTGGCCTTTTTATCTTTTCAGAAGTATCTCTTTGTTCACAGAAAACAAGATTACCTTCCTGTTTCATGAAGAAGATGAAAACAGCTTGGTTACTGTTGAGAACATCCAAGAGAACACCACACACCAATGAGTAGAATCAATAAGAACGTAATCTTGGCCCTTTTAACACTGACTAGTTCTGCATTTCTGCTGTTTCAGTTGTACTACTACAAGCACTGTTTGTCACCAAAGGTAATTCTGTTTTTTCTTATTAGACATCATTGTGGCTTTGTGTTTCCTTAACATTTACATTGCAGTATATTCAATTAATAATGTTGAACCTTTACAGAATGTTTTCTTACAGGGGTTCTCAACTTTGTAGAATGTAGTAGTCAGTTCAAAATTACAATGAAATGTTTTTGTAATATACAATTAAATCAAAAGTAATGTTTCAATAATATTTAATCTAGTCACGTTTTCTAATAAATGAAACTTATTGTTCCGCAAATTAGTATCAGTTAAATGAAGTCACTTAATAATTTTGATATGTTATCAAACTTACTTTGTCTTATAGTGTGTGTTTTGATTTAGAATCTACCAGAGGAATTGTCGGAGAACTTACCTTCATTGCTGTTTGTAGGACTGAAGATGTGGAGATACTGGTTTGGAGTCCAGTAGCTTCTCGTAGTAGTAAATGCCTGTAGCACCATGTTGGGATGACTACATAGCTTTCCAGGATCTTAGGAGAGATTACCCTAAGTCCGTCACAGTCGAGGGAAGGGGACTATTTGCTCTCTTAGAGTAAAGAAGGCCTACTTCTTATGTTTGGAATTTCCTGTAGATGTTCTCTAGGCCCTAGCCACTTAACTAGATGAGTTTGTATTTTCTGTGGTCAACAACGGATACCAATCCAATTATCTAATTATTAAAGGTAATGAACAATTATACTGTATTTCATAGAGGAATAGGCTTGACTTTTCAGATTCAGGACAGTCGTTCAGGTTTTTGAAATGCAGACTAGTTTGTTTGGATGTTCTGTCAGGGAGCACAGCTCTTCATATACCCTTGGCCCAAGAACAGTCCTCTTTGACTGACTGAGTGCTCGTCTTTAAGAGGGAAAGACATGGAGCAATGAGGGAAGACGGGGACACCTGCCTGGCCAGCCAAATTAAGCCTGACAGTCAGTGGGGTAACAGATACCACAGTGCCATTCCCCTCATATCCTAAAATACAAACTCTAGTGGAATGGTAGCTTTGTGAGCATTCTATGGACTCTAATTTTCAAGTACAGATATTCTTCGACTTACAGTAAGATTACACCCTGATAAACTCATTATAGGATCAAAATATTGTAAGTAAAAAATAACAAGGCTCACCTACTGAACACCATAGTTTGGAATATAGTATGCTGTGAAATTGAGTACCTTCATCATCATATGGCTGGTAACTCCACAGCACTGTTAGTATTGAATAGCCTGTCACTTGGCCAGGAAAAGACAAAAGTTCAAAACTTAATGTATCATTTCTATGCAGTGTATAATACTTCCACACCTATTGTAAACTCAAAAAATTGTGAGTCTCCCTGTCTGAAGTTGGGATCCATTCATAATTGGCTTACAGTTCATACCAAAAAGGAGAAGACATGTTTCTAGGGATTATTTTCTTCTTGTTACACCTAACAGGTTAATGTGGTTTGAATTCAGGGCACTTGTCTAACTTGTATTTACTGATGACTTATTAAGACCTAGGATATATAGCAGGAAAACTGAGATTAGCAGGGCAAAGGTCTTACTCTATTTGATAGTCATAGCAGTAGTAGTGATTCTTGTTTGTCATGGGGTTCTCTGTGTAGCCCTGGTTGTCTTGGAACTAGCTATGTAGACCAGGCTGGCCTCAAACTCTCAGAGATCCACCTGCCTCTGCCTCCTGAGTGCTGGGATTAAAGGGGTGCACCACCTCTGCCTGGCAGTAGTAGTAATTCTTGAGTCTGGGCTCAGAGTTCAAGTCTTTGTTTAGTCATCTGGCTTTCAGCTGGTCACTTCTCTGAGCTTTGCTTCCTTTGGTTAGGATTCTTAGCAATATTACCAACCGAGCTAAACTAGTCTACTTGATGTGATGCATCTCATTTAGTGTTTTCTACATGTATATGATCAAAGACAATAGTTTCCAGAAGCTTATTTTTCCTACTGAAGGTTTACATTACCATTTTGAAAATCAAGTTGAGAGGCTAGTGAGATCACTCAGTGGTAAGGTCACTTGCCTCCCCACTGGACAATCAGTTCAATTCCTGGAACCCACATCGTAGAAGGAGAGAACCGACTCCTGAAAGTTGTCCTCTGACCTCTGTACATATCCTGTGACACACCTTCTCCCACCCCTTAATAAACTAACAAACAAACAAATAAAAATAAAGCTGCCAGGGGTGGGGGGTGATGGTGGCACACACCTTTAATCCCAGCACTCGGGAGGCAGGGACAGGCGGATCTCTGTGAGTTCCAGGCTGTCCTGGTCTACAAAGCGAGTTCCAGGAAAGGTGCAAAGGTGCAAAGCTACAAAAAGAAACCCTGTCTCGAAAAACCAAAAAAAAAAAAAAAAAAAAACCAATAAAAAAATAAAGTTGAAGTAAGTGATTATAGAGTCCTTGTGAGCCTATTTCTCACTGTTTTATGCATGAGTTAACTCGGATCTAGATTGAGTGTTTCTTGCTCATGATTAAAGTGTTCAGGACCTAAAGCTTGTGTCTTTACTGCAGCCGCTCTGAAATATAAGTAAAAGTCTGTCTAAACAGAGTATGTTCAGATTGGGAGATATGAGATGAGATGGCTTTCAGAATGCTGTAGGATAATTGAAAATATTGGGGTTGATGGCTAAGTAAAAAACAAAGCAGTAACTGGAGCAAGCCTTATATTGTTCTTCCTAATCAGACAAGCTCCCCCCCCCCCCCAGTGCCTTATTACTAGCAGGCCACTCACAGGCTGTTATTCTGGGCCAGCTTCCCATTTGTTCAGTAATTTGTTTTCCGTTAGAGGGAGAGATTTGAAAGAAGAATGGCAGCAGTTGTTCACATTGAACAACTTCTCATGTTATCATTAGGAATGGGAACTAACCTTACAGCCATGTAGAACATATGCAGAAAAGGCTTTTGGAATAGTTTTAAGTGGGTTGCTTGGTAAAATTGTGCAAAGATTTTCACTTGATCTTTGACTTTTGTGGTATCTGACAATCTCTTGTAACTCCAGTTCAAGGAAAATTGATGCCCTCTCTGGCCTCTGCAGACACTTCACACATGTGGTATATATGTATAGGTTAAATACTCATAAACATACAATAAATACATTTTAAGTAAAAGCTACTAGACTTGCTGGCAGTAGTGGCATATTCAGTACTCAGGAGGCAGATCTCTGAGTTCTAAGACAACCAGGACTACACAGAGAAACCTTGTGTAGATTGAGTTTTCCTGCCTGGCCCACAGTCAGGGCAAATCTCTCTCACCTGCCAGTCCCACAGCCACTCAGACCCGACCAAGTAAACACAGAGACTTATATTGCTTACAAACTGTATGGCCGTGGCAGGCTTCTTGCTAACTGTTCTTACAGCTTAAATTAATCCATTTCCATTAATCTATACCTTGCCACATGGCTCGTGGCTTACCGGCATCTTCACATGCTCTTTCTCATCATGGCGGTTGGCAGTGTCTCTCTGCCTCAGCCTTCCACTTCCCAGCTTTATTCTCCTCCTTGTCCCACCTACACTTCCTACCTAGTCAATGGCCAATCAGTGATTTATTCATTGACCAATCAGCAACACATTTGACATACAGACCATCCCACAGCACTTCCCCTTTTCTTTTCTTAAAAAGGAAGGTTTTAACCTTTACACATCTCCAAAGTCAGCTTGGTATATTTGGGAATTTGGGCGTAGTTTTTCTTACTACTTCCTGCTGGAGGGGGGCGCTGTATCTTATGGGGACACAAAGAATATTTTAGGGTTATGGAGTAGTCCATGAGGGTGTATTGTCTGAGCCAGTTGCCTTGAAACAGTTCTGGATGTTGGATCATCTGGGCCATGGTGTCATCAGAGACCTTTCGGGTGGTCTTGGCTGGTCAAACCTGATGTGTCTTAATCTGGAACAAATCCATAGCCTCTGGCTTTCTGTGGAAACAAAAGCAGAGCCTCCTTTCCAAAGCAACATATCCTTACATCCAAATTTTGAAGTCAAAGTACCTTTAAAATATACATTTTGGCATAACTCAACAGCTTTTGTAATCAAATATTTTTCTTTAGTTACGAATATCAAAGAGAACATAATCCAGATTCTCTGTGTGGTAGCCATCTTTACGTGGCTTATATTTTTATATTAGCTTGAGCCTATTGCTTTGAACTGTAGCCTTCTAAGCCTGAAATGGCGCTGGCACTGTTGGCTCCACCCACGTCAGCTTCCCAACATGGTGGTGATACGTTTTCCGCCAGTTCTGGGAGCCATCAACTCTCAGAAATAGTGGGTCTATGCTTCTATCAAAGCAGCGTGTAGCCCAGAAACCTTTTTTTTTTGTTTTGTACTAGCAAAGGCTAAATCCACCACACAGTTTAATGTGTCACTTGCAGAGGCCTCATTCCCACCATACTGCAGGTCGAGCATGCATGCACGCTAGGAACCCGCCAGTAGCTCAAACTGGCAGGCTGCCGCTAACTTGAAAGAGACAACTAGAACTGTTTTTAGCTCCGTTTTAGAATCTTTTTTCTCAGGTTTTAGGTGGAAACTCTTGCCACCACGTTGGACACCATTTAAAACCTGAGAAAAAAGATTCTAAAACGGAGCTAAAAACAGTTCCTAGTTGTCTGTTGGTTTGAGCTACTGGCAGGTTCCTAGCATGCATGCATGCTTGACCTGCATGGGAATGAGGCCTCTGCAAGTGGCACATTAAACTGTGTGGTGGATTTAGCCTTTGCTAGTACAAAAAAAAAAAAAAAAAAAAAGAGGTTTCTAGGCTACACACTGCTTTGATAGAAGCATAGACCCACTATTTCTGAGAGTTGATGGCTCCCAGAACTGGCGGAAAACGTATCACCACCATGTTGGGAAGCTGACGTGGGTGGAGCCAACAGCGCCAGCGCCATTTCAGGCTTAGAAGGCTACAGTTCAAAGCAATAGGCTCAAGCTAATATAAAAATATAAGCCACGTAAAGATGGCTACCACACAGAGAATCTGGATTATGTTCTCTTTGATATTCGTAACTAAAGAAAAATATTTGATTACAAAAGCTGTTGAGTTATGCCAAAATGTATATTTTAAAGGTACCTTGACTTCAAAATTTGGATGTAAGGATATGTTGCTTTGGAAAGGAGGCTCTGCTTTTGTTTCCACAGAAAGCCAGAGGCTATGGATTTGTTCCAGATTAAGACACATCAGGTTTGACCAGCCAAGACTACCCGAAAGGTCTCTGATGACACCATGGCCCAGATGATCCAACATCCAGAACTGTTTCAAGGCAACTGGCTCAGACAATACACCCTCATGGACTACTCCATAACCCTAAAATATTCTTTGTGTCCCCATAAGATACAGCGCCCCCCTCCAGCAGGAAGTAGTAAGAAAAACTACGCCCAAATTCCCAAATATACCAAGCTGACTTTGGAGATGTGTAAAGGTTAAAACCTTCCTTTTTAAGAAAAGAAAAGGGGAAGTGCTGTGGGATGGTCTGTATGTCAAATGTGTTGCTGATTGGTCAATGAATAAATCACTGATTGGTCAGTGGCCAGGCAGGAAGTATAGGCGGGACTAACAGAGAGGAGAATTGAGAGAACAGGAAGCTGGGTGGGAGAGACATTGCCAGCAGCCACCATGACAAGCCGCATGTGAAGATGCCGGTAAGCCACGAGCCATGTGGCAAGGTATAGATTAATGGAAATGGATTAATTTAAGCTGTAAGAACAGTTAGCAAGAAGCCTGCCACGGCCATACAGTTTGTAAGCAATATAAGTCTCTGTGTACTTGGTCGGGTCTGAGTGGCTGTGGGACTGGCGGGTGAGAGAGTTTGTCCTGACTGTTGGCCAGGCAGGAAAACTCTAGCAACAACCTTGAAAACATTTTTTTTAAAAAAAAGGCGAGACAGTGCAGGAAATGTCTGTATTATGGACTCTGGAGAGTCCAGTAAATGAAGCGTTCCAGTGAGGCAGATGCTACCAAGTCTTGGTAGATGAAATGAGATAAGAGCTACCAACCAATGGAATTAGCATTGTGGAGGTCAGTGGTAGTTGTGAGTGTCTGGTGGAGCGGATTTGAGCTCAAGTGAATTGATAGGAAAGAATTAAAGGCAATGAGAGTGACATTGGGAGTTTTGCACCATGGAGAAAAAGAAATTGTTGGAGGAAAGGTCTGTCAATAGGTTTTGGTTTGTTTTGTTTCTTGTAATTATTTTTAATAGAAAAAATAATTTTGGGTTTGTATATTCATAGGAATGGTCTACCAGAGCGATGTCTTTGGCCAAGCAAGAGGACCTGAGATGTAGTCAGTAGAGAAGTGGCTGTAAAGAGGAATGTAGGCAGTTCATCTCTTAGGAGAAGAGGGCAGTCAGACTGTTTGAATGTAATCTCAGTTGGTGGTAAAGTATTGGGAGGGTTTGAAAGGTCTCTACTTCCTTTTCTTTTCTTAGGAAAGAGAAAGCAATGCAATATGGTGGCAGAGGGGATATGGAAAATGTTTTAAAAAGAGAAAAGAACAGAAAAAGTCACCTAAGAGAAGGAGAGGATTAATGCCAAGGAAATGAAATGTAGCACTGCTCAACAGAGTGAAGGCCTACCTTACATCCTGGAGATCCGGCGGTGACACCAGTTTACAGCTGTAGTTAGCTGTGTGCTTGCTTGTGCAGACAAGTGAGGAGTTGGATTCCCTTGCTTGTTTTGCTTTGTTTTGTGATGAAGGGTCTCACTATATAGTCCAGGTTGGCCTAGAACCCACTAATGGTCTTCTGGACTTAGCCTCCCTAATAATGGAATTATAAGTTTGCTCCGCCGTGCCCAGCTGTGAATATGAACCGTTTTGTGGGATTTTTTTGTTTGTTTTGGCTTTGGTTTTTGGAGTTTTGGAGTTTGTGTGTGTGTGTGTGTGTGTGTGTGTGTGTGTGTGTGTGTGTTTTACTAAGCAAGTAAAATAGTGGCAAATTGTGAGTCTGTAGGAGGGTTTGCCATTCAAAACATGGTTTTTGTGACAGCATTGCTCATATTGGTGTCACAGAGGAAATAGACTGGGGAGTGACTGCTAATAAGAATGTAGTTTTGACATAGTGTAAAGTTCTAGGTAGAGGTGATAGTAATACTACTGTAACCGTATGTTTACTGCTCTCGTTGGAGTCATGAACCTGAGAGAGCAGGGCTTAAGAATGAGGTGGAGTAAAGTCTCATTTGATAGCCAACTTTATTCAGAGCATCGGACTATATATACTCTGAGGGTTAAGTGCTGCAAGCCACAGGAAAATGTAATGGAATTCAGCTATCACAAAAGCTACTACTTGGAAAGGTCAAGGAAATTTCCTAAGGTCAAGCCATGGCTTAAGAAGTCTTGGTGATATTTTAGCTGTTGTATGTATATATTAGCTGATTCCTGCAATGATTTCCTTGTATGCTATGTATGTTTCCAAGAACTCATAATGGTGCATTTTATTGGAAATACCTACCAAGCATCCAAGGCCAAATGATCTTCTGAATTAAGGTAAATTAAACTCAGACCCTCCTTTCTTATAAAGCCTTAATGGTATTTATACTAACATTATAGACTCCTAAAATTTACCTAACCACCCCTAGGAATGTAGTTTGAGCACATAAATGCCCTTTTTCTGATATATTAACCAATTTTAGCTCTTAGTGGTCCTCCTGCTTTACCTCTCCCCCTTTGGGTTATAAAAGAAAGCCTGACAGTCACTACCTAAAGAAAACTCTTGTCTGCCTTTATGACCCTGTAAGAATTCAAGCCTGGTGACCTTGCTTTAGCTAGAGCACTGCTATTGCATGGGTATATAACTGTAAACCTCAGAGACCTGAGGAGGATTTTGAGGATTTTTACTAGAGAGGATTTTGATTTCTTGTTTTTTTGGAGTTGTCTCACAAGCACTCCGAATTCCCCTCGCATGACTCCATTTTAGACTGTGTTCCAACATCCATACATTTAACTATACAGTTAACTATACACTTCAAAATGGTAGGAATTATGATATATGATCTTTTTCCAGTAAATTTTGTATAAAATAATCTGCAAGCTCACTAGAAATGTACTTACTCCAAACTCAACCAATTCAACTGCTTAAAAATTCAGGCTCCTCTCCTAATGTAGGGCTGTAGTGAAAATCAAATTTCTGTCTACAGTTTCCATCACTTGTCAGGATTGAAGATTACAATGTTCCCTGCGTTTTTATTTTTCTGTTGTTTGTTTCTCTCACATGTCCATTTGTATTAAATTTTACTGTCTACAGTGCAGATCTTGTGAGAGACTGAGTCAGGCTCTGCCTTAATTACTCTTCCTCCTTCCTTTGTCCTCCAGTTAACAATTTCGAACTAACATTTATTTAACCGAGCACTAGGCCAGACATGGTAATACAAAGAAAGCTTGGCCTTGGCACCTGGCGTTGAGTGTGCAGGTTAACAAGAAGATGAGCCTTGTTTTTAGGAATGTTGTGTTTGTAGGATGAGGCGATACTAATTGTCTGTCAGCTTCCTCTCAGTTATTTATACTTCATAGGTAGAAGTTCATTGAAAGCATAAGGAGCTGTTAAACTTCTTTGAGCTTGAAACACTCTTCTTACCTCTATACCATCCAACATTCTTTCTCCTATTTAGTTTCAAACTATTTGGAGGTGTAGGGTATTACTACTGATAATATTGCTTTCTTCCTTCTGACTCTCTGAACCTGGATATTTAAAAAGTACTATTAACTTATAAGGAACCTAGAACATTTGAATAATAGTGTACATGATGAAAAGTGTGGGTATTGGGACCATCTCTCTACTAGATATAATGACTTTGCAGTGTTGTTATGAGGGAGTATGTGGGAGGGGACCTTTGAGATGTGTTCATTATACTTTTTAAACCTCATTTTCCATCTCATCACTAATTCAGTATATGGAGATGCAGTTAGGAATATGGGACTAAATAGACAAACCCTAATTTCATAGAGATAGCAGAGAACCAGCTGGTTCATGTGGTAGTCTCAGGACTTGGGAGACTGAGGCAGGACAGAGAGAAGGATTGAGGTGGATGAGGAAGGAGGGGGACACAGACAGACATAGGAATGTGGGTGAAGATGCTATTGCTTGATGGGCATTCACTGGCCATACCATTGAATAATTTCAGAGCAGCCCATGCAGCACCCATCATACCAGCTCATAGAGCCGTCATACTCCTATGTCACTATCTCCTCCCTCCAGCCCACACCTGCAGTGCGACAGGGGTCTCATCTGCCCCAGCGACCTGCACGGGTCATTGATCCGTGGCTCCCCACCCCTACACAACACCTCACCTAGCCCCCGCCGCCATCTTCCTTCCCTGTTATAACATTTTTCAAGTGTTAGGAGATTAGAATTGTAAGTTTGCTTTTCTGTTCTTCCTACTAACATCTACTTCATAGAAACTAATGGGAGGACACTAAATGAACATTCTTCTCCTTCGGGAGAAATTTGTGTTATTTTCAGAGTCCTGAGACCTATTCTCCATTCCCCATACCTTTGTTTTGCTACTTCCTTCTTTCCGCACTGCCTTCTGTTTCCTACTGTCCTTTTTTACAATGTTCTGGCAAAAAGCAAATCAAGACAAAAATATGGCTTCATTAATGGTGTAACAATTGCTTTAGTTTTGTTATTAGCATTTGGTTTAAAATATTCAGGCTTGATCTTTTCCTTATTCTAGGATGGCTGGTTTCAGATAGCTGAGAATATGGGATTTCAGTGCTTAAAGACTGAAAGCAAAGATCCTCGGCTAGATGGAATCGACTCACTTTCTGGAACTGAAATCCCTCTGCACTATGTCTGTAAGCTGGCCACTCACGCCATCCCCTTGGTGTTCTTTTATGAGAGGAGCGGCAACTACCTCTGGCATGGTCACCTGCGGCTCCAAGGACACGTGGACAGAAAGTTTGTTCCTTTTCGAAAGTTACAGTTCGGTCGTTATCCTGGAGCTTTTGACAGGTAAGTCTGTCTATAACAATAAACAATAATAAATCAGTGATATTATGTGTTTAAAGTTATATGTAATCTGTATACTCCTACATTGAAGTATTATATACATCAGTGAAATCTGCTGCAATTCGGCAACAGCATGGATGGGTCCTACAATGCTGAGTGTCCCAAGGCAGAAAAGAATAATAGCATATGCTATACTGTGTTCATGGTTATATTTAAAATAGAATAAAGGTACTAAGAATAGTAAGGAAAAGTTATCCCCAAAGAAGATAGAATGTATCCCTAGAAGGGGAAGGATAGACAGGGAGTTACTGAGTGGGGTTCAGAGACCTCCAGGGGAGCTGACAAGATTCAGTGTCTGTGATGAAGATGAAGACACAAATGCTTCTGACGCATTATTTTGTGCCTTTATGTTTACATGTACTTGAGTGAGCGTGTGTGTGTGTGTGTGTGTGTGTGTGTGTGTGTGTGTGTTATTTAATTTCCTGTGTCCTGAGGTGGTGACTCACCTGTAAACCTAGCACTCTGGAAACTGAAGCAGGAGAGTTGCAAGCTGCAGGTGAGGCTGGGCCAAGGAACAAGTTGCAGGCCGGCCTGGCTGTAATCATGAAACCCTGCCTCAGAAAACTAAGACAGATCATGAGCATAAAAATAATACTCTGTGTAGAAGTCTGTCCTTAACTACCACACTAGTCAACGCTGCAGACAGGAAACAGGTACTTGAGGAGACTCGGGAAACCGGACTGTGAATGTCAGATTTCTGACCCAGAGTCAGACTTAACACATCTTAAAGCAGTCTCAATCATTAAACTTTAACATTTAAACACTCTGAACAGCAATTGTTTAAGTGAATGGACCAATTAATACATTATTAAAGCTGATGATCTGGTCAGAAATTATTATGTATCCTGAATTTTTTTTTTTTTTACACAGGATCTCACTGTGTAGCCCTGGCTGTTCTGAAACTCACTATGTAGACCAAACAGGCTGACCTAAAAGTGTCAGCCACCATGTCTGTCTTCATTCAAACTTTTGAGGAAGCTGAGCACTCAGGCCAGGGTAAGGAAGGAAGGGAGAGAGGGAAGGAGAGGAGAGAGGGAGGGAAGGGAGGGAACAAGGGAGGGAAGGGGTGGGGAGGGAAAAAAGCAAGGAGATTGATTTTTCAAGGTAACTACTGCAACCAAGTGGTTTAGTTTGGGATTTAACTTTTAAAAAATAATTTTAATAAAGAACCCCAACCCCAACCATATGAAATGATAGCCATTACTATAAGGTTTGTTCATGATAATAACTAATCTTCCAAATATAATTTAAACATATTTTATCCTCCTCCCCTTTTTAGGATGGTATCGGCAGTGCAGTATTATTCCTTATAGCAAAGATGTCGACCTGGGAATTTTTATACAAGATTACAAACCTGACATTATTTTGGCATTTCAGAATGCTGGACTTCCACTAAAACACAAGTTTGGGAAGGTTGGTGACAATGAACTTAATTTCATAAATAATGTGTCTCAGTTGTAAAGTTTACCTTAACTAACTTATACATGATTAAAGGTATGTCAAACATAGTTTTAGCACCCAGCACTTACCAGGATGGGCTGTGGAAGCCTATTATCCCTTATCATTTCTATACCAGTTAAGGAAAAGTTCAAAAATATGCCTTTTATTGATAATATGAAAGAAGGAACTTGGGCTCTTGTAAGTGAATGTGTTGCTATTTTGTTATGCAATAATATGGCACAAAATTAATCTAAAGATAGAGTCCTGCTACTCTGTTTGAAGTTATATTTGTTTCTGAGTTGTCTAATTAAATGCTCACTTAGGATTAGATGTCATAATAATCATCAGCACAAATATCCCATCGATTGCTAAGGGATAGAGATATTGAGCCATGTTTAACAAGTGCTTCAGTTTCTTGTTTGTCTCACGTGTGCTAAGGTAAGCAACTTCCTCAGAGGTTAACATGGGCAAGGGCACTCACTATGGCCCAAATGAACTCTGGACAATTTGATTGCTCTTCACAATGCCCATGATCCTTTTTGATGATGCTGCTCTTAATTTGTTCCCAGGGAATTTTTTTTTCATTCCTGGAAAATTATTTCTCCCCATCAGAAGTAATCATTCTAATTTATTTAAAAAAAATTTAGTGTTTTCTGAGGCCAAAGCAGTAGCTTTAGTCACTGAGCAGATACTTGCCAAAGGCTGGTGTCTGGCACTACCTACAGATGGATCCATTAGCGTTCATCTCCTTGAGGGTCACATAAATTACTATTTGATGCTGTTGAAGACACATGCACCAAGTCCGATGTGAACTTTACTTTTAGGATAACTTTCCTTTCCTCATTTGTTGGAACGGGGCTCTGAAATTCTTACTTTTGTTTTCCCTGCAGAGTGACAGTTTTAACTACCATGAGACATTTACTCATGAATTGTCATCATTTAAGAAACATTATTGTATATGCATTTAAGAAAGGCTAGTATAGTATCCCACTTTGACAGGGATTTAAGTTTTAAAAGCGTGCATCTTAGAATTAATGCTCACTATATAAAACATTTTTCTTTATTTAAAGTAGGAAATGTGTTTCTGTTGTTTCAGTCTGTGAAGGTTTTCGTTTTCCCTATTGGTGGAAGACAGCTTGGAACTATCCTTCCAGGGAAAAGATGATGTAAAACTTGACATTTTTTTCTTCTATGAAGAGACTGACCATATGTGGAATGGAGGCACGCAGGCCAAAACAGGAAAAAAGTTTAAGTATGAATCAGAGAAGTACTTATTTAAAGGGGCTTTGGGAGTAATTTCAGAAAGAAGAAAGGAAAGTCCCCCAAGGCTCCATCAGCAGCTACTATGCTCTCAGCTCACCCACAGTCCAGCTTTCCTGGGAAGTTCTCATGAGAACTGGCTGTGAGGATGGTCTGAGAAGAGGGACCCTTGCCAGGGCTAGTCAACCGAAGGAGTCATGATGAAAGCGCTTGAGTTACCATAGCAAACTTACGATGCAGTTTTTCTTGGGTTCATCCATCCTCCTAGGATTCCTGAGACTTCATCTGAAGATTGTAAAGTAAATTTGTTCTGGAGGTTTGAGAGTAATCCAAACCTTTTCCTGAAAGTTACAAACTATCCATCTCTAATTGACTCTGACTCTAGAACGTATTCGTTACACTTTTATTAATTATAAAAACTACTTTGCTTTATGACAACACACTCCACTGAGTTCAGTCTGACTATAAGATACATAGAAATAAAAATACAAAGGAAGAGAGATGGGCCAGTGAGATGGCTTAGCAGGTGAGACACTTGCTACCAAGTCTAGCAACCTGAGCTGCATCAATTGGGGACCTGCATGCTGGAAGGAGAGACCACCTCCCAGAAATTGTCCTCTGATCTCACACATACAACATGCTGTGCCCACCTACACGTGTACACACACAAATAAATTAAAAGTAATTTACAATTTAAATATACTTAGAAATAGATAAACCAGTGGGTCTATATGTGTCTTAGTTGGGGTTACTATTGCCGTGATGAATGACCAAAAGCCAAGTTGGGAGGAAATGGTTTCTGTGACTCTCACTTCTGCATTGTAGTCCATCACGGAAGGACGTCACACAGGAACTCAAAGAGGACAGGGACCTGGAGGCAGGGACTGATGCAGAGACCATGGCGGCTGCTGCTTACTGGCTTGCTCACCATGGCTTGACTTCTCAGGCTGCCTTTTTCCTTTATTCTTTAATACATTACATCCCAACTACAGTTTCTCCTCCCTCCCCTTACCCCAGCTTCCCCAACTCCTCTTTCCCCCAGGTCCATCCCCATTCCACCTCCCCTCAGGACAGAGCAGGCCTCCCAGGGACATCACCCAAACATTGAATAATAATGCTACAATAATACCAGGCACATACCATCACATCAAGGCTGGACAAGACGACCCACTAGGAGGAAAAGCATCTCATAAGTAGGCAAAAGAGTCAGAGACAGCCCCTGCTCCCACTATTAGGAATCTCACAAGAACACCAAGCTACTCAGCCATGGACATATGTGGAGAAGGCCTAGATCAGACCCTCACAAGCTCCCTGTTATCAGCAAGCCCTCATTAGTCAATTGATTCTGTGGGGTGTGTTTTCGGTGCCCCTGAGTTCGCTCGTTCCTCTGATCCTCCCTTACCCTCCTCTGCAGGACTCCGCAAGCACCACCTAATGTCTGGCTGTGGGACTCTGCATCTGCTCCCACAGTTCCTGGATGAAGTCACTCTGGTCTCTTTGATGAGGATTCTGCTAAGCTCTGGTCTCAGAACACTCTGCAGGCAAGACAAACTGTAGGGTGAAAGTTGTGTGACTGGATTGGTGTCTCAATTGAGGCCCTTCCTAGTTGCAGAATATAGCCATTTCAGTCTCTGTGTTTCCTATTACTAAGAGTCTTCGGTAGGGTTACTCTCGTATATCCCATGGAGTTTCTGTTTTACCTGGTTTCTGCCTTGACCCTAACATGCCCCCTTATTCCAATAGTTCTCTCAGTATTTTCTCCCTCCCCGACCCAACTAATCCCTCCTGTTCCTAACCTGACCAGCCCCTACCTAATTCACCTGTAAATTCTGTTCTATTTCCCCTTCCCAGGGAGATTCTTCCATTCTGCCCAGCCTGTAGGCCCTACTTGTTACTTAGCCTCTCTGGGTCTGTGGACAATATCATGGTTATCTTTTATTTTACAGCTAATATCCACTTATAAATGAGTACATACCATGTTTATCTTTCTGGGTCTGGATTACTTCATTCAGGATAATATTTTTTCTAGTTCTGTCCATTTGTCTGCAAATTTTCTGATGCCTGTTGTTTTTAACAGCTGAGAATACTCCGTTGTATAAATGTACTACATTTCTTTATCCCTTCTTTGGTTGAGGGATATCTAGGTTGTTTCCAGTTTCTGGTTATTATAAATAAAGCTGCTATGAACATAGTTGAGCAAGTGTCCTTGTGATAGGATAGAATGTCCTTTGGGTATATGCCCAGGAGTGGTCTAGCTGGGTCCTGAAGTAGATTAATTCCCAATTTTTTGAGAAACTGCCATATTGAATTCCAAAGTGGCTGTACAAGTTTGCATTCCCACCAGCAATGGAGGAGTGGACCTTGCTCCACATCTTCTCCTGCATGAGCTGTCACTTGTGTTTTTGGTCTTAGATATTTAGACAGTTGTTAGATGGTATCTCAGAGTCATTTTGATTTCCATTTCCCTGATGGCTAAGAGTGTTCAGTGTTTCTCATTCATTTGAGATTCCTGTATTGAGAGTTCTCTGTTTAGGTCTGTACCCTATTGTTTAATTGGATTATTTGGTTTGTTGAAGTCCAATGTCTTGAATTCTTTATATATTTTGGATACTAGCCCTTTGTCAGATGTGGAGTTGGTGAAAATCTTTTCCCATTCTGTGGGCTGCCGTTTTGGTCTGTGGATGGTGTCCTTTGCTTTACAGAAACTTTTCATTAATTGTTGATCTTAGTGCTTGCGCTTTTGGTGTTCTGTTCAGAAGTTTGTCTCCTGTGCCAGTGCAGTCAAGGCAGTTCCCCACTGTTTCTTCTGTCAGGTTCAGTGTGTCCATACAAAGACTCAACAAAGAAAGAGAATTACACACCAGTCTCCCTTGTGAACACAGGTGCAAAAATACTCAGTAAAATTCAAACAAACCAAATCCAAGAGCACATCAAAAAGATCATCCACTATAATCAAGTAGGTTTCATCCCAGAGATGCAAGGAAGGTTCAACATACGAAAATCTGCCAATGTAATCTACCATATAAACAAACTGAAAGAAGAAAACCACATGATCATCTCATTAGATGCTGAAAAAGCCTTTGACAAATCCAATGCCCCTTTATGATAAGAATATTGGAGATGTCAGGGATACTAGGGACATACCTAAGCATAATAAAGGCCATTTACAGGTAGCCTGCTTTCTCACAAAACACAGAACCTCCTGCCCAGGGAAGGCCCCACCTACATTGAGCATGGCCCTACCCTCATAGTCACTAATTAAGAAAATGCTCTAGAGGTTTGCCTACAGCCTGATCTTATGGAGGAACTTTCTTATTGAGGTTCAGTTGTAGTTAAGTGAGTGGGAGTGTTTTCACAATGTTTAGAGCTTATATTTCAAAATATGATAGAAACTGCAAAGTTAGTGTATAATGAGTTTTTTCTTTATAAGATAGCATACCACAGAAATTAAGGTCATAGAGCCAGCTTTTAAATCCCAACTGTACATGTGACAAGTACTGTTTCCTTCATCAATTTTCTATTTAACTTCTCTGCATATGGTTCCTCCACTTCCAAGTGGAAATAATACTAGACATTGTCATGCAGCCTTGTTTTAAGGACTGAAAATGTTGTTATGGAAAAAGGATTTGAAGGGATTCAAGATTTCCTGAATGCTCTTAGCTTGTGTTAATGCCACTATAGTAACAGTAGGAAAATGATGCCTTTCATAGTCTTGTGAGAAATTTCGATACCGTCTGATCAGCGCGGTATGAAATTGCTACATCTGGGTTTTGAGAAGTCCTGTAAAAGTGTCAGTCTTTTGTCTTAAATTTGCTATCAAAGGTGAATTTTTCTTCTCAGGATGTGATCTGAAAACACAGTCTTCACAAGCAGTGTTCAATCAGCTGCCACATTTATGGTAGAGACAACTTTGGTTTCCTCCCATTTCCCTTTCTAGTAGCAGTGTTGGCCAAGTGTGAAGTTCTCTGAGGAACAGGAGAAATGAGCAGTGAGGGAACGGTCTGAACAGATGGTGTGCACCCCAGATTTTCTCTCCTGTTACTGTGACCTTAGAGGCAGGGAAAAGAACAGGGGAAGGCTGTGTGGAGCCATTTCTTTGGGAGACTCCCCAGCCACATGCCATTGTCAACTCCATTCACTTTAAGGAAATACAGGATTGATCAAAAGGCCATCTCTAAAAGGGAGGACCTGAAACTTGAAACTAGTGTGAGGGTTTTTTTAAATTTCATAATAGTGTTTTTTAAACCATGTGTGGTTCATGCTGAGAAAACCCTAAAACTATAGAATGCTTACCTTTTTTTTTTTTTATGCTTAACTTTTTTAAGGATGGGCGCTCCATGGAAAAGCATCTCTTCCCATTTATGCTTTCTGACTGATACCTTGGATTCTAAGATTTAATAATAATTTTACTGTTAACAGCAACTGTAAAGATATCATGACCAGTGTGTCTGCTAGGTACACTCCCCTTAATAGAGTATTAGAGAATCCTATATCGCTCTTTGGATTATGTCTTCTAATGACCAGCTCAGGCTTGGGGAAGCTAAAACACACTGATGGTCAGTGACTATCTAAGGCCATGGACCATTAATAACAGTGCCATGATTTCACCTCAGACTGGTTTGACCCTGGCCTAAACATTTGAGTTAATAGCGTAAATTAGTTGATCTGTGTGAAGTATTAGAACAGTGCCTGGCACCCTATAAGTATGTGTCACTGTTAAATACTGCTTCTATTCCCACTTCTAGATTGTCTCTACTACTGCTGTTATTCATCAGGTGCTGGACTAGCACAGATCACAGCACCTTCAACACATACTGACTTGAGTAGTTACCCCCTTGGTGAGCATTTTCTTCCTGGGTATCATTCAGTCTTTTATTTCTTAGTTCCCATTAGTCTTTCATTGTTCTGCTGTTATATCTTTTAAAGATATATGTTCTGTATCTGCTTCATTTTCAAAAGTTGTCTGTGTTTTTCATATTTGCTTTTCATCTA